CCTGCACCACGTCCGTATGTGGAACGAGAAGCTTCCCTCGATCGCTGCCAAGGAGGAGCCACAGAAAAAAAAGCTGGAGAGGGCTATATAAATCCCTATAGATGCCTGAAGGCCAGCCTTTTGGGATGCATGGCTGTTAGCCTTATCTGATCATCCCGTAGCCATGGATGCTGCAAGAGAGCCCAGGACTGAAGGGGTTCTTGTTGATGCTGGTTCTGGACCAGTCAGTTGCCTGTGGGTTTAAATAATGAAACCTCCTGGTTGCCTACCTTTGAAGCCCATTTGGCTTCCTCCGCTCCCCACTCTGGCCATCGCGTAAAGCGAGGACGGGCAACTTCCAGGATTTTGAGGCCGCTTAACTCCACCCCCCACTAAATCTGCTGCCAAAATCTTCCAGCAGCAAAATGGCAGCGATTATTTCCAGAGGAGGCATGCGGAGTCCAATTCAGCATCTACAGAAGCGGTGTTCTCCGCATACACTTTGTTTGGAAGCAAAATCGCTACATAACATGCACGGTTTTCAGCGCAAACAAGCTCCTAGCCCCGCCATGACTCCCTTCGCCCCTTGCTCTGCTCCCTGCCGCGCAATCTCTCCCCCAACATCGCCTGCCTTGGCTGGCGTCATTCCAGTCCATTGCCTTGCAGGGGAAGCTGCCACCTACAGAAGTGTCAAGTAACGGACGCCGGCCAGCTGGGGTGGCGACTTGGAGAGGCGCAAAGGGGAGGAGAGGCTGGTGGCGCGACGCTCACCATGCGTCTCCCCTGCGAGGCTGCCAGAAACGCCACTGCTCTGGTGGCTGACGCTTAAACGACACCCATCCAAAATGGCGGGGAAGCCAGACCGAATGGGAGGCCAGCCTTGACCGCAGGGGCACCTGGCAGCCAGCCCACGCATGGATCAGGCCTGAGGTTGTGCCGGGGGTGGAAGGAAGGGGCAGCTGATCTCTCCAAGGCAAGGTGCTTTGCTCTTCTTGCCAACATAGGCAAAAGATGCTGTCCGTTCCAGGAGGGTGGAAGGACAGCTTCTCCCAAAGGTGGGATGCAGCTGGAAGGTGGGATGCAGCTGGATGCAGCTTAAGTGGCTAGAAGATATATGACAGGGTGCATCCCCTGCTGAGGACTACTGGGGCAACGGGGCAATAATAGGTGTTCCCCATTTTTATAATGATTTCCACGGGGATGATGTGATTCCTAACTGGAACATTTGGGCCCTGTATGAGGCAGGCTGCAGAGGTCCCAGGGTGCTATTTGGATGGCTTCCCCCTACGAGCCAACATGGCGACCTACATTGCTGAAATCAACAAGAGCTGCCTGTCACGCGAGACCAGAAAAAACTGCCAACCCAAACGGAAGGGGGTTCTTGCACGGACGTAGTTCTGCAAGGCTGCATTTGGCAAGCCAAGCACACCAGTCCCGAGAGTCACAACTGATTCCACCACATTACTTTCTGCCGAACCATGGAATCTGCAGGGAGCCACGAAGCCACGTACAACTCCATCGTGGGACCTGTATGCCAACGGTGCCTTCCCCAGCAGCCATCTGACATCACTGATTGCTTGCAACAGGAAATGGCTTGCCTTGGCTCCCAGCACCAGGAAAGTCAGGGCGAGTCCGGCAAACGCACGGTCGTAACTACTAGTGCTCTGAGTGAGCCGAGCTGTGCTAGAAACACTTACTGTGACCCTTTGCAACTTCAAGACCAGTGATGCAGAACCTATTAGAGACCGAGCGCCCAAACAGCAACCTAAAAAACACTTATTTATCGCACAGTACCAAATATGCAATAAAACGTAAATACTGAGGTTTTACTTTAGAAGAAACAATTCACAGCCAGTCCAAGCACATCGCCTTGACAGAGCATTGGCCGCCCATTCGAAAGCTCAGAAGAGCTCCCTTGAGTGGATTTTTCTGCGCATCACAACGTTTCTGCCCATTCTCAACACATTCCAACCATCAAAACCATGCCAGGACACCTCGTTTCTCTAACCCTAACCCTACCGTGGGGCAACCCCTAACCCTAATTTAGGGTGAAAGTTCCACTGACAAGAGGGCGATTTTGAAAAAGCCTCCCCTGAGTGGCTTTTTCTGCCCATCTCAACGTTTCTGCCCATTCTCAACACATTCCAACCATCAAAACCATGCCAGGACACCTCGTTTCTCTAACCCTAACCCTACCGTGGGGCATATCCCTAACCCTAATTTAGGGTGAAAGTTCCACTGACAAGAGGGCGATTTTGAAAAAGCCTCCCCTGAGTGGCTTTTTCTGCCCATCTCAACGTTTCTGCCCAT